GGAGCTCCCTGGGAGCAGCGGGGATGGTCCTCCCACAGAGAGCTCTGCAAACGGGTGATGCCTGGCCCGTGTTGCCGAGAAGAATGCTCCAGAAGCCAGCCCAGCACTGAGGAGCCGGGTCAGGTGCACTGAAGCCGGGTCAGGCAGCTGTGGCAGTACTGCTGAGGGAGGGGTTGGGGAGGGAGCAAGACATGCCTGAAGCCATGGTCCGCCCCAGGTGTTGCACTCCCAGAAGATGGAAGTGGGACGGACCAGGACCCCGTCCCTGGCCGTCCCTGGCCGCCAGGCGCTCAAACATAACATCTCCCACACCAAGACACAACCCTAAACCAAACCCATCTGCCCCACAGCTGCCACGACCTGTACGCACGCGTCTGCAGCCCTGTGTTGACAGGACCACGCTCGGGCAAAGCCGAGCTGAGCACCTCACCTCTCTCCTCTCGGCGCCATCAGCCTGCACCTTGGCCTGGGCTGCAGCCTCCCGGTAGGTGCTGGCCTGCTTGGCCTGTTCCAACAGGGCCTTCAGCTGCTGAGCCGTGTTGAGCAGGGAGTTGACCATCTCTTCCAGGTACAGCCAGCTCCGCTGCTCCGACATCTCCAGCCCGTTGACCCCTGAGGGGGACACGGGCTTGGTGGGCGTGGACGGCGGGACGGCCAGGGCGGGCAGCGCGGTCAACACTAGAATGTTTAGGAGCAAAGAAACGGGGGATGAAGGCACTCCTGGTGCTGGAAGTTCTCAGGTGGAGACTCATCCAAAGGGGAGAGTGGGGTGAAGAGACGGGGGAGCACTCTACAGGGTCCCCTACAGGGCTGCCCGGAATGGGGACAGTCAGCACGTCCCTGTGCCTGTCAGACAGAAAGCAAAGGAGGAGGCCTCGGACTCCCGACAGTACAGCGCCACGGCCATCAGACGCCCGGTGCGGTGCAGCAACAGGTGTGTGAACTCAGGGAAACAAAGGAGCAAACACAGCGGGCACCTGCACACCCTGACCTTGGGGAAAGGACACAAACACATTACGTGGGGCACAGAGGGTGCTGGGAAAACCAGATCTCCACCTGCAAAGGGATGAACCAGGGCCCCACCTGCCACCATGTACAAAAACAAACTCAAGAGGGATCAGAGGTGGGAAGACAAACCCTCCCCTGCCATCGCGTCAACTCCAACTCCTCCCGACACCACAGGACAGGCTGCAACTGTCCCCTTGTGGGTTTCTAAGACGGAAGCCTCCTCTTTCTCCCTCAGAGTGGCTGGTGGATTTGAACTGCCGACTCTGTGGGTTAGCAGCTCACTGAGTCAGCTGCGACACCAGCAGGGCTCCCTAACATAAACCCTAGAGGCATAAAGACCGTCAATGGAAAAATTGGGACAAGCTTAAGGGCCCTAAACAAGGCATAAGCACCCTGCCAAGCACAGGGACCCACACCAACGCCACCGAAGACAAACGGAGCCCTGGGGCC